AGTCAGCAGTGACGCAGCTGCCACGTACGCAAATGAACCAAAAAATAATTGCATCAGCTTTGATCTTGTCTTTTTCGCTTTCCCTACCGTCAGCGCCTACGATGCCATTTTCAAAATATTACTCCAACTAATGCAATTAGCAAAGTACATAAACTACTTTAAGGCTTCTAATCTCTCCATATGATTGGGCCAAACAATTGACTTATCACTTCTCCAAATTTCATGAATGGTCTGGATTTTGTCTTGGACGGAACCAATGGCTCAAATAGATTTGGTTAATTTATGAATTCATAGAAGAAATTCATCTTTTTTTTATTTTTTTTTGTATAGAAACAATATTGTTTTAGAATTTTTTTATAAAAAACTTATATTCAAAATAAAACTAGGTTAGCTCAAGCTTGAGTTTTTATATTATTAAATTTATTTATTTTTATGTTTTAAAAATATTTTAAAAAAATTAATATTTTTAGTGGTTTTAAATTATTTTGATATATTGATGTCAAAAATAATTTTTAAAAATAAAAAAATATTATTTTAATATATTTTTAAATAAAAATTATTTTAAAAAATAACTGAAATTGTATTCAACAAATAAAACAGTGTTTTATGACAAAAATCTTGGCATCCTTATTAAAAATAATAAATATACAAAAATTTGTTTCTCCATCTCGTTGTTTGCATTTAAAGAAAATGTACAAAAAAAATAAAATTTACTTACCAACTAAGCCATCCTCAAAGGTAAAAGTTTTGAAAAATGCCACGTATATGGAACAGTGGAGAGTTTATGGAAGGTAACATTGGCATCTTAGAGCTTCCTCTTACAAAAAAAAAAAAAATTTACTTACCAACTAAGCCATCCTCAAAGGTAAAAGTTTTGAAAAATGCCACGTATATGGAACAGGGGAGAGTTTATGGAAGGTAACATTGGCATCTTAGAGCTTCCTCTTACAAGGAGTCATTATAAATATCTAAAAAGAAGTGTTTGGAATGTGAATTCTTAAGCATCTTTCTCTGTTGAGAATATTGTTCCTGATAATGTTAGTTTGTGTTTAGTTGAAAATTAAAATTCATGGTGATACGTTTTTATTATGTTTTGTTTATACTAAGTAATTAATGCAAGAATTCAAATAAATTTACTAAATATCCTATTCCTACCACAAAATTTAAAGTATCTAATACGGCACTATGGTGCTTTTTTCTAAATAATTATTCCCTCAAGCACATACATGCTATTTTAAGTATAACTACCAAGTTAATTAATAATTTATTTACTAACAAAATAGATAATATGTAATTTCTCAAAAAATAAAAAGAAATTAAGATCTTGATACCCAGAATATATAAATAAATTTTCTTATTATACAACATAAAAAAAAACTAAGGTGTATAAATAGATAGTGGGACCTTTTTCCTTGTTTTTTTTTTTTTTTGCTGTTAATTGAGAATAAATAGATAAAATTAGATTTGAAATTATAATAAAAATATTAAATTAAATGAAAGAGGATTGAAATGTAAATCATAGATAAAATACAAGACTTATTCACAAATAATTTAGTTTGCAATATACATATGATCACCAACAATTTATTCTGTTAATATATAATAAAACAATTGGAGCTACCTACATAATGGATACCAGTAAATGTTTTTGTTTGGCACCTCTTTTCCATTAATGATAATATTATTAAGAGAGTTATCAAAAATATATAAATTATTGATGAAATGTTTTTTGACGAACAATTTTTATTTATGATTTTGTTAATATATTTTTTTTCAATAAAATCAGTTTTTAAAAACCAACATAATATTTTGTCAATATTATGCAATAGGAGAAAAACTTTTACCCTTCAACCCTTTTTTATACTAGTTTTTAAAACCAAAAATTACAATTATTAATTTTCATTATTTTTCTTTAATTACCCGCTATAAGTAGGTATGATAGTTTTTCTTTTAAAAACTAGACATTTTACTTCAAAAACAAAACTGTTTAAGAGGTGGAAGGCTGTTAATATTGTTCATTCATATGTTAACTAAATTAAATGAGATGGTAAAAAAACATTATAGGCAAAAAAATTATTTTATAATAAACTTAAATTCAAAAAAAATGAACTAAAAAAAAATATAATTTAAAAAATTATTTTATAATAAATCGAACCTCAATACATGAGATGCTTAAGTGTCTAAGCTTGGCTTGCATTTGTAGCTTAAATCCAAAACTTAATTTTTAACTCTTTAACTTTTTAATGTGTAAACGACAATTCCAAGATAGAAAAGAAGATTTTAGATTTTGTAAAAATATATCAACTAAAAATTATTTGAGATGAATTTTTTATTTATTCATAATTTTAATATTTTTAGTAGTGTTAATATTTTGTACTAAAAAAAATTTGTTAGAGAATAATTTCAAATAGCATTTTAATTCTAAAAGTGAATGAAATTGAATTAATATATATATTCCATATTAAATAAGGTTTTTCTAGTGTTGTTGAATTTTTTTGTTTTCAAATACTCACCTAATTTTTTTTCTTGGGAATTAATGACTCTTGTCATTCCCTGTCCACAACTCCACACCTTATCTATAAAAAGAATCATTTATTTATTTAGGTTTGTATGAGCATCTACCAAATTTAAGTTACATTATCATTCATCATATTTATATTATATTAATTATTTATTAAGTAAAAAATTTAAATGTTCATATTCGATCTAATCTCAAGTAGCCATAACTCTATATATATTGAATTGAGTCTTAGATTGGATTTAACAATATCAATATCTATTTTTCACCCATTGGGTAATTAAGAATTTTGGATATCTACAACCAAACCAAAGCAATAAATATCCCAAAAATATTACTTATTTGAATTGCAAACTATCATCCTAGAAACAATTAATTAGGGGCAAAAGGTCAGAAGTTTCGGCCAAAGAGATTTTTAGTGTTGAAGAACCGGAAATGGTGATGCTTGCACGATATAATTTGACCGCAAGAGAGAGAGAAAAAATCATTTCAAGCAATTACAATTCCTTCTTCATGCATTCACCTAACATAATATTGGTCTTATATATACAATTCCTTCTTCATGCATTCACCTAACCTAATATTGGTCTTTTATATATATATATATCCTGGTTATTTACCTTCCACAAGAAACAAATGCCATAGTCAGAAATCTCTTGATTGGGGAGAACACGATCAAGGATCTTTATCGTGAGCCTTCGTACTTTACCATTGAATATTAATAAATAATACAAAAATTCAACATGTGATTCCATCAACCCTTCCTACCGTGCTCTCGCCATGGACGCATTGGGGGGTTGGATAGCTGTCACTGCTTTCAACACCGACGTGTTATTTTTTTTTGGATATCATTTGTTAAATAATCTCATCTATTTAACACGAGACCACCAATTTCATGTGGTTACAAGGCATCAAAACCACAACAATCTGACTTGTTATATATCAGGCGTGGATTGATCAAGACTTGACAATTTGGGAAAAGAAGTTTGTGTGGACATTACAAAACTGTATTTCAATTCTACGGGTTTTGCCACAGTCGTGTATATAAAGAAGGAGAAATACATGGCAAATCATCTCATTTAGGGTTTCATTCTCCAGAACGTCAAAACTCAAGGACCCTCGAAATACAAGTAGACTGACAAAAAATGTGATAGCTAATTATGCTAATATTATTACACCACACACATCGATCAAATAACGCTTCCCGGCCACCCGTCTCCGGCCACCTTCGAATTCGAACGGTCCAGCAAAGCCAACTTGGATACTGTATTTTAAGAAGTTCATTTATTTGAATGTAATAGACTGTGAGAATTCATGTGTTTTTAAAATGGTTTTGAAAGAGAATGAGCTAGGATTTAAAATCTTGTTTGACCCTGTAAATAAAATTCCTCCTTCAACTAATTTGGAGAGAAACACATCATAGTTTTTACCTTTTCTTATACAAGATGCCTCTATTTTCAAGAATTTACTTGTTTTTTTTTTCTACATGCAAACATCTCACTGAATACTTGTACTTTAAAAAATTGATTAAATACAATAAACTTGTCTTAATTAAAAGCCAGTTGTGGATCATTAGGTAGTTGGACAACCTGCCTAATCTACATCAGAGAAACCACAAAAATCAAGTGTAGCATCACCAGTCAAATGTAAACCAAAATGAATGGAGCCTTTAACATATCTTAAAATACGACGAACCATTTTCATGCTAGCAACAGATAGGGCTTGTAGAAATTGAGAAATATAATTGACACAAAAGGAAAGGTCAAGTCTTGTAAGGGTCAAATATTGTAGGGCATCGACAATGCTACAATTAAAGGAAGGATCTGAATAAGGTGTGTGATCATGAAGACCTTTAGTTTTAGACTCCATTGGTGTGTTCATGGGTTTGCAATCAAGCATTTGTGCTTTATCTATAATTGAATAAGCATAATGAGCCTGAGAAAGATGTAAGGAATTATTATGCCACTGAATTTCAATCCTAAGGAAATGGTGTATAGGGCCAAGGTTTTTCAATGCAAATTCAGAATGTAAGAGTTGAATAAACTCATCAAGTAACTGTGAATTGGATCCTGTCAAGAGCATGTCATCAACATAGAGTAATAAAATTAGTATACCAAGTGATGAGTGTAGGATAAAAAATGATGGATCAGCCAAACTATAAAAGAAAGCATGTGCAAGCAAAATGGAGTTAAAACGACCAAACCAAGCTCGTGGTGCTTGTTTAAGACCATAAAGAGCTTTTTGAAGTTTACAGACATGAGAGGGAAAGAGTGAATCGTGCATACCAGAGGATTGTTCCATAAAAATATCTTCACTTATGAAACCATGGAGAAATGCATTTTTAACATCAAGTTGTCTTATGTCTCCTTGGTGAACTAAGGTCAGACTAAGAACTAAACGAATGGTACCTGGTTTGATAACTGAAGAAAAAGTTTCTGTATAGTCAATACCATCAACTTGATGATACCCTTTTGCGACTAACCTGGCTTTTAGCCTATCAAGAGTACTATTAGCAGTCAATTTAGCTTTAAACACCCACTTTGATCCCACCACATTCATATAAGGTTCTCTGGGTACTAAGGTCCATATTTGATTTTGACGTAGTGCATCAAGTTCCTCAAGCATGACGCATTTCCAGCCATCATGTTGTAGAGCCATTTTGACATTACGTGGTTCTTCAGGAATATCACCACGTTCAAGAACTAAGACATAACATAGATTTGGTTTGTGTATGCCATGTTGAGCTTTAGTGACCATAGGATAAGGTGTCAGCTGTACCTGTTCAAAATGTAGAGGAGAGTCAGAATTTAAAGAAGAAGAAATGGGTGAGGAACTACCTGTGTCAGGTATTATGTTAGCTTTAGGAGATGGAGGTGTTGCATTAAAGTATCATCATATGGTGGAGTGTTGCATTGAAGTATCATCATATGGTGGAGTCTATGACAGGCGGTTGTTGAGGTATAGGAGTGTGGTCATGATCAGAATGGGATCAAAAGGAACATTTTTAACCACTGGAACGGGTGGAGGTGAAGATTCATGCAAAGGATTGTATGAAGGTGCATCTACTGGTGGAATAGTGTTTATCATCGTAGGTAAAAATGGAAAAATATTGAAGGATTTAGTGGAGCTAGTATGTGAAGAAGGTGAATTTTCTTTCTTCCTATAAGGGAAATGATTTTCATCAAACACCACATGTCTCAAAAGAAACATCCTATGTGTTTTCAGATCAAGACAACGATACCCTTTATGTTGGTTACTGTAACCTACAAAAATATAAGGAATAGTTTTAACATCAAATTTATTTCTCTTTGTATTCCATGTATATGGATAACATCAAGATCCAAACACACGTAAGGTAGAGTAGTTGTGGTGAGAATCATATAAGCAAGAGTAAGGAGTATCAAATGCTAGTGAAGAAGAAGGCAAATGATTAATTAAAATTACTGTTATAGAAAAAGCCTCAACCCATAGAAACTTAGGCATACCACTATGAAAAATCATAGCCATCCCAAGTTCTCTAATAATGCGATGGTGACGTTCAACAATCCCTGTATGTTCAGGAGTATATGGATATGAGAGATGATGAATGATTCCTTGTTGCTGAAAATGAAATTCAAGTCTTTTATTTACAAACTCTCCTCCGCCATTAGTATGGAAAATTTTGATTTTTTTTGTTAAACTATCACTGCACATAATTCTCAAATGCTAAATAAACATAAAAAAATTTCAAATTTAGCACGAAGAGGAATTATCCATATATAATGAGAATAATCATCAACAAAACATGCATAGAATCGAAATTTGCCAAGAGATAAAAAAGGGGCCGATCCCCAAATATCACATTGAATTATTTCAATAATATTAGTACTAATAAAACTAGATGAATTAAAAGGTAACTTGCTAAGTTTGCTTGGTTGACAACTTTCATAAAGAGTATCAACTCTTTTATTGGAATTAACATCAATTAACTTCTTTGTGCGCAAAATCTTGATGGCAGAGTTTTGTGAGTGTCCAAGACATTGGTGCCATAACTCCTTGGTTCCTAAGTTTTGACTGTTGAAGAAATTTGCTTCCTTCATCTTAGATAAAACATAAAGGTCTCATTTACACTGACCCATTAGTAGGATGCGCCCTGTTACTCGTTCCTTAATATAAAATAGCTCATCAGTAAATTCACAATTCAAGGGGTATTGTTGTGTTAATTGACTAATGGAGAGTAAGTTCCTTATTAATTGTGGGACTAATAAGACATCACGTAGCATCAATTTATTCTTACCATCAGAAACTAAGCTGTCCCCAATTGCATCAATTGTTAAGGGTGAACCATCAACAATAAATACAGAATCACAACCAACATATTTTTTGAGATTAGAAAGTATACCTGAGCTTGTAGTCATATGATTCGAAGCACCAGTGTCAATAGTCCATTCAGTATTAGCGATTGTGGTGTCCATTATAAGAACCGTAAGTGCTTGAGGAAGTTCATCATTACTTGGTTGTTCTGGTAGACTCTAACATATTTTGGCTATATGGCTTTGCTTGCCACAGAACTGACAATATTAATTCTTGTATACCTCTCTCTTTGTAAATGTTATGCATCGTTTACCAGGTGGTGATGGTCGAGAGACACGATTGTTATTCTTTTGGGATGATGGTTGTGAGCTTGAGTTATTACCTGCAAAAGTAGAATATTGAAAACTGTTATTTGTAGCATGAAATCCTCTACATTGAAAACTATTATTTGTAGCATGAAATCCTCTGCCTTTTGATGTGAATTGATGGTTGTGAGGACTGCGATTATTATAATTATGTTGCTGCTATCTGTGGTTGCGTTGTCTACAGAACGCATAAGATGGAGAATGTGATGCTTCAATCCATGAATTTCGTTGTTCAAAGCCCTATAAGAGTGAAACCATTTCTAAGTAGGATGGCATTGGAGGTTTAAGCATTGTGGTTGTGAAAGATTCATATTTCGGGCTAAGATTTGCAAGTAAAGAGTAAACTTTTATTTTGTCAGGTATGGGGTTGCCTATAGCTGCTAGGTTGTCATATATACTTTTGAATTTTCTCAAGTGTTCTGCTAAGGATTAACTTGGTTATTTTTTGAGGTATGTGAGTTGTTATCGGAGAGTAAACTCTTGTTCTTGGGAGTCTTGGGCATATGCTTCTTTCAAAGCATTCCAAACTAATTAGGATGAATCAAAACCAATAACCAAACCAAGGTTTCTTCTGTAAGTGTTCCAAATCCACGTAAGAGATGATCTTCCTTTCTCTATTTGAGAAAGTCTTTTAAGATTTATTGTTTTGTCGCTTCACTTGTTGATGTCCTTTTTGTTATAACATTGATGTACATGGTAGGTTTTATTTTTTCACCTGTGAGAAGCCCGACCATGTCTTGACTCTCAGCTAAAGCAAGCATTTGTTTACGCCACAGAGGGTAGTTTTCTGGTGTGAGTTTGAGGGTAACAAAATTGGCAACATTGAGAGAGAATGTGGAAGCCATTGAAAAAGAAGAAAAATTAGAACTCTCTTATCTCACAAAAAGCTTTGATATCATAAAGAAAAATATAATAGAGAATATTTATGAGAAAGCTTCTCATGCAAAGCGTGAGAAAAGACTTCTTGATTACTAATATATATATATATAAACTTTACAACATAGGAGAAATATTCAGAAGGAAAGTTACAAATAAAGTAGTAAATTTGTACATATTGTAATTTCTATCTTAGTGCTATTACATAACTATTTTACAGGAGTAAATTGTTGGAGTAGATTGTTGAACTAATTTCCTATTATACAGTGATTGGATTCAACAAGACTCCTTGAATTACTCTTCATGAGTCTTCTATTTCTAGAAAGACAACCACATCTCGGTCAACTACCTTATCACTCCATGCTATAGACTCAAGATGGTTCTTTGTGGGTGGATTATGTTTAATAATTATATGTTCTAAATGGTCTAGTGACTCGGTCCAAGACAAAGGGATTGAAAGAGGCATTGAATGCATTGGTTTTAAATATTTCAACCAAGTCAGAATTGAAAGGTCCATTAGAGTATCAAAAGGAGACCCTAATACTTCTTATCTATGTGCAAGAGGGGTCCAATATAATCTTATTTGGGCCATGAGGTGAGAACAACAAAGGAAACAAAAGAATCGTACTACAACTTGGAAACAACATGGGTGGCTACCTTTTCCTTTCGTTTCTAGGATTAAAAGGCTACATAAAAGGCTATAAATAGGCCTTGAATTATGTATGTAATATTTTAGTTCCTTCTCCTCTTCTCATGACAGAATATGGATTTAATATTAGGGGCTTTATTTTATTTTGTTAGCTACAGCCCAAGACTTGTTTGGGCTTAATTAATACTTTCTTTTTAGTTAGGATCTAAGGCTTGTTTGGATTAAGTTATGGGCTTTTCAGTTCAGGGTTTTGCGTCAGTTTTTTAGTGGACCTTATATAAGTCCATATAAGGGGTCTGTTAGGGTTAAATTTTCAAAAAGTATTTAAACTCATGTAAGCCACAATTTCAGCAGCTTTAATAATAATTACTTTTGAATTTTTCAGTTTTAACGTGTGAAAGTGATTCTTGCATTCTTCAGTTCTTGAACAAACCAAATCTGACTTATCGAAAATTAACTAGCTTCATGGCGTCATTCTACTCAATCCAATAGTGTTGGTGTCTTGGGGCAGGTTTTTATTATGTCACACTCCTATTAGAATTATTTCAGCTTTCAGGGATCAGATGTCAATCTTGATTGTGGGTTGTGTGACCACGTGATCACAAGGTTCGCATCAAAGGCGGAGATATAATTTTTTTTTACTTTAGGCTACAAAGTAAATACTCATAAATTATTTTCCAAGATCAATCATTAACTCATATTTATAAATTTTTTTAGTTAACAATAAAATTTCAATCCAAATACTTAACATAAAATATTAAAAAATAAAATTTAAAGTAAATAAAATTGAAGAAAAAATAAAAATAAATTATATTATCAAAATTACACCCTTTAATGTTTTGTAAAATAGAATTCATTTATAATCGAATTTAAATCGATATCTTTAGTAACCTTTCATTCAATGTAAATCATTATAAAGTATAGCTTCAACATGTTTTATAGTAGAAAATGCTCACTTTGTGATGGCAGTGAAACATGTAAAGTAATAACACTTTGTGATGGCAGTGAAACATGTAAAGTCATAACAAGATGAATCAACTTGTCAATCAAATGATAATGCTGCAACTTATTTGTTTCAACCAATTCTCGAAAAAATTTAGAAATGGTAGACATATTTTAAGAGCACTTATGATGAATCACATCAATCTAATAATGCTCTAAATGAGATCTCATATAATACATTTTGTGTTTTTTAAAATCTTCAAGATAAAATTTATCAGTAAGCTCACAAATAGCGTCAACTTTAAATGATTTAAAGTTGTTTTTAGATTTTAAAGCAGAGTTAAGAACAAGAAGTTTCATTGTTGATGTGCATCATGGGAATGATAATCCATCTTGTAAAGGTAAATTGAATATGCAAGAGGATTCAGATGGTCCAATGACAAGAGCGAGAGTGAAACAACTACAAAGGACATTGACGAGTCAAATTGGAATGATTGAAGCTGCGTCGGAGTTAAAAATTAGCAATCAGTTTCAAATTGGTTCAAGGGTACTTATTTGCCTACAATTGGAGCTTAAAGATGGGAAGAGCCCTTAATGGTTCTTTTGATGTTGGGCTACTTGAATTTGGGTTGACAATGCAAATAAGTTAAGAAATTGATGCTGTTTACGTCAGAACAGTAGATGAATTTGAACCCGAATTTGAAGTCATCCATTGCATGTGAAAACAAGACTAATCTAGGTGGATTTCAAGTTCAGAACGTGATCTTTCCAGATTGTCCAATGCATTGGACTTTTGTGCAAGAAGTTATAGCCATTTTAAATTCGGTCTGTTTATGTTTCAATTAAAGTCAGAAAATGTGTGCTAGTTTAATTTGTCTGGTTACTTTGTCAAAGTCCAATTTTTGGGCTTGATTGTTGTCATGTTGAATTTTCCTAAGTGTAGAGGGATGTTCCATTATAAATATGGCATCTGAATATGTAATAAACAACTTTTGGCCAAGATTTGAACTTAATTCAGAGAATTAAGAGTTGTTCTTCCAGATTGATTTGTGAAGAACCCTACCTGACTTATCACTCTTCAATCACAGAGAGTGTGGCGTCAAAATCTTAGATTGATCTTTATGGCGTCCAGATCGACTTATCAAAGTATCACTCTAATCTATCCTCCATTTTATTTACCTTAAAAATACTATAATCCAGCCTAAACACCAAAAGAAAGACAACACAACCAAACCCATCCTTCATCCATTTTCATCAGATTCATTGTTGCCGATTTTTGAATCATTTACGGCACAACAATTGTTCCATTACTGAATCTAAAATTTAATTCTTTTAACTAAAAATCTATTATTGAAAGTTACTTTTAGATTTCAAAGCAAAGTTAAGTATAACAAGTTTCATCGTCCCATTACTGAATCTAAAATTTAATTCTTCCAACTGAAAATCTATTATTGAGTTAAATTTATTATAATGATAGTGGTAATAAACTATCATTGATTTTTATTATTGATATAAATGACATGTAGCCTTTTTATACAAAATATTCATACATGAGATGTCAATCTCATATTGTGTATAAACAGAGTGCACATATGTAAGGAGGAGATCAAATCTGGCATTTCTCAAAGTTTGAAGGAATGTTTTAGTAGTTAATACAAGATCCATTACATTTATAATGTCAAGAGATTTTTATTGTAAAGGTCGATAAAATAAATCAGTAATACTTATTATTTAATACATCAAAGATATCATGGATATAAATTTAATAGATTTCATCACAATCAAATTACCACTAGTTTCTCTACTTATAGAGTTAGGAGATCCTTCTTGAACCATTATTTTAAGCATAATGATAGTTATATCATACATATCTATTAAACTACAAATAGAATCAAAATGAGAGTTTTACTGAGTAGTTCCACTTTTGTGTAAATTACCAATTTGATTAGCTCTTCTACTAGTCTCACGTTCTTAAATGGCTACCATATGTGCAATGAAACTTGGTATGATGTTTGGGAGAAGCACTAATAAGATTGATAATGGTTGTTAATTTTGAAAAACAAAATATTATTTTCAGCTATTAAAACTAATGTTACTTATTGTCGGTGGGCATAATAATGTATATAATATGCATAAGGGGAATCTCTAAAAAGTAGAACTTGTAGTCCGTTCCATGCTCCATGGATATTGATAACACCATGATACCCTTGCATATTAAGGATATGTAAGATATAGCAAGCATATCACAAATTTTTTTTTTGAGTGTTGAAGAAGTAGTATTTAAAATATATACAATACTAAAAAAGTGCTCTCGTAAAAAACCTTGAAT